CTTGCAATCCTTCCCAGTAGGCAGTCTGGATACTGCCAGCCTGTTTTGGGGAAGGATGGCTGGGCTGCGTGGACTGATCAGAGCCGAGCTGGAGAAGAGATCATTTTCCTCCCAGAGACCTTGCAGACAAGGCAGGATAGCCAAAGGACACAGAGAGAAAGTGGGGCTGAGAAATATTGGGCAGGGTGACAGAGCTGACCTCAGTGCACCAAGAAACCTGCCCATCATATGGCTTCTCGCCAGCATGCCAGTGGAGGAAGGTTTTTAGGCAGTGGTTTGAAGTACAGCCACAACACGATACTTGGGGAGAACTCATCCTATATGAAACTCTAAGGGGACCCTGCCCCAGCTGAGCAGGACCTCTCAAGCACCCTGGAAGGGAAGTGGAGTGGGCAAGAAAAGCCAGCGTAAGGAAGGGAAGGAGGTTTGCTGATGCTGCCATGGGCTTTGCGGAGAAGCCCATTCTCAGTGTCACCACAAGGTGGAACTTGGTACATACCACATACACCGGCGATGCACCCGCTGTCAACAAGCAGCAGCAGCTTTGGCCAGAGATGCACCCATGCACCGAGTGGGTCTCAGCACCCACTGCCTTGTCCCCATACCCCCAGAGGGAGCAAGAAGGGGAACGCTGGTGTAGAGGAGCCATTGGTGGGTTTTGGTGGTGGTGAGAACCCGGCTGTTCTCAAGGTCTGCTGTGCCAACAGCAGGGCCTGGTCCTTGGAGGGTGTGAGCTGTGGGCTGGGGAGAATAAAGCTGAGAGCCAGGAGTGGTGTCCTGGAGGTAGCAAGAAAGGAGGAAAGAGGGAAGTTTCTGTGGGTGGGATGTGAGAGGGCATGAATGAAGTGAAGAACAGACTCCAGAGGGAAAGGCAGGGCAGGTGGGACCCTGCAGACGTGGAAAGAGCCTTGCTGTCCTGTCCTCCCAGCAGGGTCTCTGCTGGAAGACAACTTGCCACCACTGGGACCGCACTGATCCCAGGCACAGGGCTGCCAGAGAGCTGATGTAAAAGCCAGGTTGGATTTTGGGGGATGACAGATAACAAAAGGGGCCTCTGCAGAGGTACTTCACAGGTAACGCCTCCAGTGATTTGCAAAAGCACTGGAGAAACCAACTAAACCCTCATCACTTGGCAGGTTTTCTGCTTTTCTGATCACAGCTGCTGCCCCGTGCTGCTGCTGGTTGTGCTCATTTCCAAGCAGCCGCTGCACTGACAGCGCTCCTCATGCTAGGTGCGCAAAAGTGATCCTCAAACTTTATTTACCACCTGGAACTTCAATTTCTGAGTGCTTTGTCACCCTAACAAGGGACGGAAGGTTGTTGCATTTCTACAGGTCAGCTGAAACCACAGCTTTTCCTAACTCTCATTGATTCTGCACTCATCTGGATCGAATGGTCTCACGCTTGCTGAGGACTAGGAGTACGTAGGGACAGACGTTGCAGTTCATTAATGAGCAGTGATACTTCGATTGTGCTATTACTCTTATTAAAGTGATTCTATTGAATTTCTCTGGGAGGGAGCCTGGGAGGAAAGGTGAAATTATGGTGTTTCTTCGAAGAATGGCATTATGTAAAATAGATCTATTTTTTTTATTTCTTGTGCAGAGGAAGACACAACCTTTGGCCTCTTCAGAGGGAAAATCTCCTCTTAAAATGACATGTTATGTGTTATTTAACTGCCGTAGGCATTACTAGTCATACCAGAGTAATTTACATCATGTGCATGATGCAGTGGGGAAGTGGTGAGGTCATCACCAGTGCAGGCATTTTCATTCCAGTCCTAAGTTATCACAAGTCTGGACAAATCAGCAGCTGACTTCTGTCGTGCCATTTGTGTCTGTGTGGTGTAAAGAGACTGTGATCTGTATTAGGGCTGCACCACTTTTGGTGTTGCCCAAAGATGGCGGTGGTGGGAGACCAGCACCAGGCCCAAAGAGCTCCAAACCAACCCGCTTCTTCCTCTGTGAAGCGGTAATAGGGCTTCCTTAGCTCCTTTCACAGAATCCTGGAATCATAGAATCTTGTGAGTTGGCAAGACCCATGAGAATCATCAAGTCCAACTCCTGACTCCATGTCCTTCGTGTAAGGATGTGGTGGAGATGCGTTAATTTTGGAAAATTAGGAGTTTTTGCACATAGCCCATTTCCTACCAGGCTCTACAGCCTTTCTATCTCAAGTGCCTGTTTCCTGGATATTAAAGCACTTTTCTGACTTTGGGCCCACATTCTGACATCCTTGTTCACATCAATTTCCATTTGCTCCGTGAAAAATCCAGCTGGAATCGATAGGATGATTATTAGCACAGCCCCGATCCTGGGCACGAGGACACGAGTCACTTCCCTCATGTGACAAGTGCCACTGGTTTCAGTGGGATCGGTCATCTGGGCAATATTGCATGCTTGAGTGTTCGCAGGTTTCGGACCCAGTCAGGTGTTACCTGCAGTGAATAAAGGTTGGAGAATTTGTCCCTAAGCCCTTTGCAGGAATCACTTCCTCCAGCACCGGAGCGTGACGCAGCATCGTGTAACATCAGTGCGGAATGCCACGTAACCCGCGGTGTCACACTCACCCGTCAGGCTTCGGCTGTGAGATGTGACAGTGTCTTTAAATGACCTCAAGACCACAATACATCCAGATCTGTTGTTTCCCGAAGCAGGGCATTTCTGGTCCGATGATCTCATCTCTGTTTTAAAAACAAACTGATTTTAACTGCCTGACATCTCTGAAGCCCTCACAACAGCAAAACTCGCACATTGATGTTCTGGAGCGGTACCAAAGCTCGGTGAATGCCGATCCTGTGCTCTGTGTGTGTGCAAACTTCGGGGATAAGTGCAGTAAAATGTGCTCTGAGGGCCTGGAATGCTCCCAGCAGTGCTGGCACTGGCACTGCTTATTAGGGATTAATGAGAAAACGAAGCAGAGGGGCTCTGTGTGCTCCCAAATTGATCCCTGTGGGACTCTGGCTGCTGCTGGACAGGGGAGCTGGTGCAGAGAAGGGAAATGTTTTGCCAAGGCAAGTACGGGAGACAGCTCTCTTCCCCACCCCTTTAGGATCAGTCCTCTCCAGCACAATGTGAAATACGGGAGGTGCTCAGAGACCACTAGCTAATAAATATTATCTGGCCGTTGCCTCCTGGTGCCCCTCTCCCAGCCAGGGCTAAAGCAAAGCCCCCAGCTCCCAGGGGAGCGCTGCAGAGATTGCGGCTCTGACATCCAGCCCCTGTATGAGCCGGGGGCTCAGGGAAGGCTGGAGGTGTTTCCTCAAACACCTACTACCTGCCCAGCTAACACGTTCAGCAGTGCCCCATCCAGAAAATGCCTTCATCCTCCTTCGCTGTCTGTGATTTGTAGTTGCGGTGTGTAAATAAGGCGTTATTAGCCGTGCTGCTGTTCAAGGCCATGCAACGGCTCTGCCTTGTCCCCAGAGAGTTTCTTACATACGGAATATGGCAGCAATTAATGACTCTGGTCCTGTCCTTGTGCTGGTCAAATAACCCCGTCCTCTGTGCTTACCTGTGAGCATTGGTAGGGTTTCCTTCAAAACGTGGAGAAAGAAAGGGAAGATGGCTGGGTCACCAGGCACCAGCAATAGAGAATATGTTTGTAAAACCTCTGTTGAATATGATGGGGGGGGGGGGGGGGGGGGGGGGGGGGGCTGGTGATGGAGAGCCTTCGATTAGGTCTCCAGCAGAAGTGGTGACATGTGGTTCGCTGTAAAGTTTCTCAAGCATATGCTGGTTCTCCAGTAAGGGGCACTCACCCCAGCTGGACTCCATCTCCCTGCACCCTTGGCTTGCCTGGCAGGGCAGCAGCTAGCAAAGGCAATGCACAAAAAAAAAAAAAAAAAAGAGTCTGTAACAGGGTCTGTAAGCTCACCTAGGATGGAACAGCTTAATAAGTGTATAGCTGCTGTATTTCACCACACCAGGGGTCATGGCTAGGGAAGAGATGGATTTTTGTCCCAGCCATTGCCAGGACAGTGGGCAATGGTCATGAGTTTCAGCAAAGGAAATTTATACTGGTCAGAATGAACAAATTCTTCACTAAGAAGATCTACGCTCTTGAACAGGGATCTAGATTGGCTGTGGTGTCTCCGTCCTTAGAGAGTGGGGTTGGACTAGCTGACCTCTAGGGGTCCCTTCCAACCCAAAACATTCTGTGATTCTGTGATATCCCAAACTCACCTGGACAAGGCTGTGAGCAACCTAACCTACCTTTGAAGGTGACCCCCAAGCAGAGCGCTCCATTCCAACCTGAATTGTTCTCTGTTTCTGTGTAATCAGCGAGTTGTTAAACCACTGGTGGGGGGTTATCCTGTACCAGACTGCAGGACAAATTTGCATTACAAGAATAAACCCAGAGCTATGCCGAAATGCAGGGTAAGTGACTCACCCAAGTCATACAGGAAATCGGTGGCAGAGAAGACACTCTCCACAGTCTTAGGAAAATGCTCTTCTCTAGGTGGAAAAAAAAAAAAAAAGCATTAAAAATACAGTTTCCAAGCTGCTTTTGGGCTACATTTGCCCGGGCTAAAAGGTGTTTTTAGCTTCCTCTTCACTGCGTGTCAGTGGGAACAGCACAGAGCAGCTCTGCACAGAAGGGAAAGGGTGGAGCCAAGCTCTCTCTGATCCAGGCACTTGTGGGCAGGCTAAGCTGACGAGCCCTAGGCACTGATTAGGAGCTGCAAACAATATTTGGGACTCCTCCAGCCCCTGGAAATGATGCATAAAACCCCACTGGCATATGACTGTAGGAAAACTTGTTCCTTCTACCTGGGCAGCTGCCGGCAGGCGCCTCGGTGTAATTTTGCATCCAGTGTGTGCTGGTGAGCAAAGCAGGAGGAGAGACTTCCCACGGTTCCACCCCCAGCTGGACTCTGCCCTCCCCTGCCTTCCTCTGCCTGCGCTCTCCCACTGCCTCCTCTCCCTCCTTGGAGCCCCGTTTGACACCGCGCACGCCGGAGGCTCCTGGATGAGCAGGGATCCCCGCAGGGGTGGCGCAGCCCCCCGTCCTTCCCGACGCCTGACGCTGCTCCTGGAGCCCCACGCTGGATCATGCAGTGCATCCGAAGGCAGCCCAAGCGGAGCACATCCCAGGAAAACATCCTACGGGAGCAGAGCCGTAGAGTGGCCGCGTTGAACGGCATCAGGCTGGGTAAGGGATGGGTTGGCCAGACCCTTGGCACTTCCACACGCTGGCAGCCGCTTCATTTCTGCCTCTTTTCGCTGCGCAGAGGCAGTGCTCCACCCTAAAGGCAACTCCAGGGTTATTTTTAAACTCCCGAGGTTTCTTTTCCTTTGCCTGTAACCACCCGCCAGATGAGTAAATCGCTTCGTTTGAAGCATCCAAGAAAGTGGGAGCTCTGTGGCAAAGGGTCGGTTTCCAAATCTCTTGCCGGGCTTTCGGAATTGTCGCTGGTTGAGGGTGTTTGGGGAGGGCAGTGCCCTTTTCCTGCCTGATTTTAGGACTTCTCAGTGGCGTATGGCCAGTTGCTGTTGGAGCCCGAGGAACCACTCAGAGGTCTTGCATTCACCAGATGAAAAAAAGAGGAAACTTGGGGAGTTTCGTAACTTCTGTGTCTGGCTATGCCCTCATCACTCGATCCTGCTCTCTGGAGAGACGGCCCAAGTGGGTACGAGTCCCTTGATTTCCCTGGAAATGGAAAATCGCCATTTTCCCACCCCAGTTCTTTGGATTTTATCAGAAAGGCTTTCTGCCCTTTTAAACTGAGTTATGCCTGGTCTTAAAGCAGGTGGGAGAGGGAGAGCAGGCAGGAGGAGACTTGTTTTATAGCAGTCGTAATTAATGTGTTTGTATCAGATCAGATTTGTAAGTGAGCGATGCAGAAATACGGATTGCCACTGTCTTCTATAGCCACCATTCCAACTATCTCCTTAGTGAACCCTGGCTTCTGCCATGGCAGCTCTTGCTTCATTGCTTTTCCTGCTCGCGGTAAACCCGAGGTGGGTAATACAAAAACATTTTTGATGTCTTCGTGTCTAAAGCTCCGTTGTGCAACGTATTAACTTTGTGGTTATTGCAGCGCTGTGTGTGCTCGAGGTGCTCCTACCTTTGCCAAGCATGATTTTCACCCTGAGCATCACTGCACGCCAAATATATTCTGTTTAGGAAGCCTGTGATTGATATTTTTTTTGGGGGGGGGTGAGGGGGGCTGACCCTTGAAACGCGCTCTGCACTTTTGCATGCCAAGCGTGTATTTGGCATTTTCCCAGAGGATGCTAAGCAAGGAGCAGTCCTGCCGCATGCTTCAGGCAGGATTTGGACATTTATTTCAGCATGGTGACTGTGCTTCTCATGCCTAGTGTTGTTATAGAGTCGGAAAACAATATCCTTGTCCCGCTGCGCAGTGTTTTTTCATTTTTACATGGTGTATGTGTAGGATGGCTCCGGTTTCTTTCATACAAGCTTCCATTGCTGTGAGATGGAGCTCTGGACCACAAACCTTCTCAGCTCCATGGGGTCATTAGGCACAAATCCTCAGGACCTGGTTCAGGCATAAAACCCGAAGTGAGGTTTTTGCTGGGAAAAGGTGCTTTTTTTTTTTCTGGAAAGCAGTTCAAATGACCAACTGAGAGTAACATCCCACCGGCACATCAGGGGCGCGTTTGTTCCTGTATCAGCAGATCAGAGTGATTGCTGCTCCATCGCTGGCCTAACCAACGTGCTGGTGCTTTGGAGGTCGGAATAGAGACGCTAAGTGATTCTCCCAAGGTCATTGAAAGAGTCTGTGGCAGTGCTTGGGCTGGGCGTAGGAGGCCCCAAAACGCTGACCCTCTTCCCCAGCCAGTTTAGCTGCTGCTAGGCAGCCTCAGAGCAGGCCTGGAGCAGGCTGTGCCCACCCAATTGAGGGGCTGCCCCCCCTTCCTTTGGTCCCACCGTCGGGTGGTTCAGGCAGTTCACCACGAGCAGCCATCAGCTCTGGGTGACTGCTCTCTACCTGAAAGGCTGCCCACATCCTTAGGTTAAAGGTTGGACTTGATGATCTTAAAGGTCGTTTCCAACCAAAATTGATTCTATGATTCTATGATTCTATGATCAGAGGAACGACGGAGCTGCTAGGTGCCCATGGTTAGCCCTCTCGCACTTTCCTGGCCAAACCCGCTGGCTCTTAGAGGCAAGCTCATCTCCATCCCCTCCCTGCCTTCTCTTGCTGCCCCCTGACCCACGGTCCCCACCATCTTTGATCTTCACCATGCTTTCACCACTCACCATCCATCTTTCCCTCCCGCTCTTGCAAAGTGTGGTGGCCCCCTTTGCTGAGTCACTTAACCTGGTCTGGTCCTCAGGATGAGCGTGAGGGCTGCTCCCAACCCACAGTTAGATCCTCTGAAAGGGAAGGGGAGTTTCAGCCCACACTAATGCACTGACTGGGCTGTGCTGGTGGGCAGGATGATGGGCTCTGAGCTCCAGCTTGTGTCCGATGTGGATCAAGCCTGGAGGAGAGGAATCTGCCCTTGACCACTGCCTGTGCCCATCCAGATTTGCCCATATTACATTGGTGCAGCTCTTTGGGATGTCACAGGATAGAATCATAGAATCACAGAATCGTTTAGGTTGGAAAAGACCTTTAAGATCATCAAGCCCAACCATTACCCTAACCCTGCCATTCCACCACTAAACCACGTCCCTCAGCACCTCGTCTACCCTTCTTTTAAAGACCTCCAGGGATGGGGACTCAACCCCTTCCCTGGGCAGGTCTCACGACACATTACACATGCTGCATGCTGGGTCTGTGTAATGAAATGTGCCCCATTTAGCAGGGGTTTCTCATTACACGCTTATGCACATAGGCACCCAAAGGAATTGATGGTTTTCCTGCTTTCCTCCCCATGTCACCCTAGGGTGACGTGTCCTCCTAGTCCCATATCGATGCCTTGCATGGTTGGGATCTGAGAGGGAATGAGGCTGGGAGCCAGAACAGAAATGTTGCGAGTGAATAGAGAGAAGGGAGAAGTTTGTTTCCTTTCCAGGAACCTTGAGGGGTCCCACAGAGATGTTAATGAGGCCGAAGTCTTTGGTATCTTCTCAGTATTTGAGAGACCTTTGCCTTGGAGGGGAAGCCTTAACACCACGAGTCAGGAGGCCAAGGACCTCTGAAGCTGTGGTGGTGTCTGTCCATCCTCTGGAGGCCTCTTGCCAGCCCCTGGGTATGCTTGAACCTCAGCAAACCCAGGATGGTGTCCCAAATCCCATAGCTGGGGTCAATCTTTTGCCCTTCCATGCTTTACAGGAGATGGCTTTTTTTCTCCTTTCCATGAGTTTCTTTCTGAGGTTTCCAGAAGAGGAAGCATATGAATTCTTCTCTTGGGAACCCCAGACCAGACATGAGCTGAGAGGCCCAGGGGATGCTGTAGCACGGGAAGACACTTAATTAATGAGATAGATAATTGAATGTAGAGGAAAGAGAGAGGCCACAGCCACCTTTTCAGGGTCTCCAGCTCCCACTGGGGCACTTTCAACTCTGGATGCCTCAGCTCCGGGCATGCTCCTTGTCATCTGCAAAACCAGTGAAGTGGTGTGAGCGGCTCACCGAGTCGACACCGGACACCCCTAATATTTATCTCTGATGGAGATCTCAGGCTTTCTTTGGCAACCTAAAATGCTCCCTTGAGGCCAGCCTACCCCAGCTACAAACACGTGGTGCTGATTTTTGCTGTTGCCACCACGACCTGCCTCAGTGCTCTGCAGCACCTGGCGCTTCAGTTTCCAGTATGGAGGAGTCTGAGGTTTTGGCCACTTGGATCTCATGCTGTGTTTTGTTTTTCAAGCAGGCCTGAAGTGATGCTTTGTAGTTTATTGCCTTGCTCTGTTTAAAAAAAAAAACCAAGAATTCAAGGTAGCTGTGTCTTCCAGAGAAGAATAAACCCCATGTCACAGGGGAATGCCACATTGCTATATAAATGTTATTGCATAGATCAGTTAACTTGGATTTCTGCTTTGTGAGACCCCATGTTATAGAATCATAGAATCATAGAATGTTTTGGGTTGGAAGGGACCCCCAGAGGTCATTGAGTCCAACCCCCCTGCAATGAGCAGGGACACCGCTAACTAGATCAGGTTGCTCAGGGTCCCATCCAAACTGTCCTTGAATGTTTCCAGGGATGGGGCCTCCACTACCTCTCTGGGCAATCCATTCCAGTGTTTTACCACCCTCATTGTAAAGAATGTATTCCTTATATCTAGTCTAAACCTACCCTGGTTTAATTTAAAACCATTTACCCCTTGTCCTGTCACAGCTGTCCCTACTAAAAAGGTTGTCCCCATTTTTCCTATAGGTCCCCTTTAAGTACTGAACGGCCGCAATCAGGTCTCCCCGCAGCCTTCTCTTCTCCAGGCTGTACAACCCCAACTCTCTCAGCCTGGCCTCATATGTTTCCATAGGATCAGGAAATTTCCCCCGATGTGAGTGTCAGGGTGACTGAGTGGTTATCTTCATTGTCAGGATAAGGTTAGCGAAAATCCCATCCAGTTGGGATGTGCTTGGTCAGTACGACAGAGTTAAATGCTGTTTCCCCAGCTTTGGACCAGCCTTTCATGCGATGTCAGAGAGATGCAAGGTGCCTATTACTGAACGCCCGGGACGTGTTTCTCAGGTTTCATGCTCTTACCCTCCCCAGCCCACACACTCCAGATCTGTAATTAATGGTTTGAGGGACAGATTCTCCAAGGTATTTAGGTATGTGGAAGTCATATACTTCTGAGACATTCAAAAACATGTCAAATGCCAAATCTATGATTTCAAAGCCTCAGTAGATGCCTGTTGCCTCTCCAGATGTCTAAGTGCCTTCCTGAATCTAGCCTAAGATGTGAAATCTGAAGTTCCTGGAACCAGAGGGTCTGGTTATTATTACTTGGCATTGTGGTGGCTTGGTAGGGTAAGAAAGATAAAGCTCCTCTTGGATACTAACTGGGCGATGAGGAGAGCATGGTTGCTACCTTACTGCTACCTTATTGATGTGATGCTGCCTGTTACCAAACTTATCTGTGTATGTCCTGAGCTTCATGACACTGATCTTCAAAATTCCCATGTGGATAGGAAGGGACTGCTTGCCAGAGAAGGAAGAGAGATATCTTTGTGTGTTCCTGTTTCCAGAAAGGAAATTTGTCACAGAATAGATTTGAAATCACTTGAAAGCTCCCAAGAGTACAACAGTTACAAGATATACAACTCTCTTTCCTCTGCTTTTACTCTTACGTTGTTGGTTTGGTTGTTGTTTTTGCATCCGAACATTAGACTACACTTTCTGGGAAGAAGATATTTTATGTTTGTAAACCACCTGAGAATTATAGTACAAAAGTCCTTGGACTCAATCTAAGATATCTACAAGGCTCCAGCCTCTTTTGTGAGCAAAAAGCGTGGCATGGCAGAGTGCTGGGTCTCTCCGCTCTGCTGCCCTCCCCAGACCTGGCTGCACTGCCGTGGTCGGTCTGTCTGTCTGTGAGTTGTGTCCCATGGCAGGGAAGACCCTATGGGCATAATTTCTTGTGTTGACTCTTACAACATCCCCACTACTGTTTCTCCGCAGGCCTGAAAGATGATGCGGATCTGAAGTTCCTCCTGAAAGGCAGCCAGCTGCTGAAAGTAAAGTCAGGCTCTTGGAGAAAAGAAAGGTTTTATAAGCTCCAGGAGGACTGCAAAACCATATGGCAGGAATCAAAGAAGATGCTGAGGTCTCCGGAGTCACAGATCTGTAAGTAAAGTTTGCTTTTTGGGACACTGTGGGCAGAGGTGCTTGTGGTGAACTAGCACCATCGTGGTTGCGGTGTGGAGCAATGAGACCAGGTCCTTCACACCTCCTGTAAGACACAAACTGAGTGATGCTTCCAGCTCTGGAGACAGCTGGGAGGAATCTGCCGAGTCAGGAATGGCCACATTTCCCAAGCTTATGCACTACCACTTAAAATGGTTGTGAGGTTGGCCATGCTGGGTTGAGCCGCCCTGCCTGGCTCGTTTCCTCCCCAAAGCAAGAGTTTGGGTTACTCAGGTGCTCGAGCCCTGATGTTTGGTGTGAGACATGGCTTGAGCATCTGCAATGTGGTATGGTGCGCTTGGGCTGCTGGTCTGAGCTCTGCCAGGACACCTCTTTTCTGCCTGCACCCCCCTGGGAAAGCTGGCACTTAAAGGGAACCAAGGGAACCACAGAGAAGTGGAGATCCAAGGGCTGGCAGGAGATCTCTCTGGGAAGGAAGGCCTGTTCTCATCCTTATCTTGGAAACTCAGACACTGCCCCGCTGTAAAAAGTCCAGATACGACATTCACCATTGTATGGACATGGGGAAAACCATTCTGTGCCACCATCACTCAGCTTAGGGCTGTAATTGGGACCAGGAACCCAACTGTGCAGTCAAAATGGGATCAGGCAGAGTGTGTCTCTATATCTGTTTATATCTGGTTTTTCTTCTCATTTGGTATTTCTCTGACATATTTCTCTGTCACTAATCATCACAGTCCTGTAAAGCCAGGAGGTGAATGAATAATAAGGAGTATACTTTATGGCATGTTGAAACGTAGAACATGATGCCCGTGTTACTTACACAATTTTTTGGGTAACAATCACAATTAACTAAATGAAGGGTGAGTCTTCCAAATTACCCCCCTCCCATAACCCGTGATAAGATCTTCATAAGGAGTACGGTAGCAGGTCAAAATAGGCTTGCTTTATAACCCTGATGGCCACACTCTTCTCGTGTGACCTTGGGCACCTTATTTAATCTCTTTGTGCATCCTTCCCCACACGTCTCCTTTCTCCTCCTCTCTCTAGCTACAAAAAGTTTTGGGTTAGAGGCTGTCCCTTAACTGTGTGTTTGCATGCCCAGCATGGCAGGGGCCTGAGCTCAGCTGAGCTGTTTAGGTCCCAATGGTAACAACATTGGGTAACAACAACAACCCAATAACCCATGGTAGCAACAACAAAAGCAGAGGCCTTAGCAAACATTTGCTCCCTAGGAATTCCTGCTCTGTTGAGCTCTGACACTTTTAAGACACAGTGCTGGGCCATCTTGTCTAGGCTGTGCTCTTGCCTAGAAAGGCTGGACCAGATGATCCTTGAGGTTCCTACCAGCCTGGTGTTCTATCATTTTATGATTCTATGATATAAAAGCAAAGTCCCACATAATGTCTTGCTATAAAACAAACAAGAGCCTGAGTTGAGAAGACTGGCTTTCACAGCTTGCTTTCCTCTGCTCTGAGCCAGCCATTTCCAAATTATAGGGGCTGAGAGCAGCTCCAGTAACAGTCCTGACCCCACCTGGTCCTCTGAAGTAAATGGGAGGGGGTCTTCGTGCTGTGGCTCCAGGGACCTTGAGGTCTGCTGGGGCAGTGGCATGGAGAGCTGGCACAACTGTAACTTTTTTATATACCGAGCCCTGTGGTGAGATCAAGTCCTTTGAGCTGGGTGTTGGGCACAGGCTGGGAGTGTGCCTGCATGGGTGTGGGTTTACAGCACTCCAGATACGCTGTGCTAACTGGGCACGACCAACGTTGCCACACAGCTGGAGATAGAGGCAGCGCCACTGCAGGAGGGAGAACTTGCTGTGCCCTGGGAGTGTCCTCAGTGCAAAGTGAAGATGGAGTAATATCGCCTACCGACTCACTCACACCCGCACGTATGCTCTGTAATGCCTCCACGCGTTTCCCCAGAGAGAGATTCCTTTTTTTTTTGTCATCGGGATAGCAGGGAGGGAGACAAAGCAGGTGAGGCAGGGCTTGTCCTTGCAGCTCTGAAAAAGCAAGCTCTGGCAGGGCTCTAGCTGGGCTGGCTTTGCACCCATACACCCGGCTGGCTGTGGGAGCATGCCTGGTGCCAGGCTGACCCACCAAGCGTGCCGGGGTGGGCTGTGTCCTACATCCCCCAGGAGGAGGTGAAGTTGTGCCTGCCGTCATGGCATAAGCTTTCAAGAGGGCTGGAGGGCCACCTTGGGGCTGCTTTCAACTGTTGCTCTGGTCACACCTGAACCTGGAAGTCAACAAGAGAGATGAGTACTGGACTGACTCCTGCCCAGTCCCAAGCCAAAACCCCAAAGACACCCATTTTCCCATGCCTTTCTCCTCTGTGGGTCCTCTGAGACCTTCCATTGCCAAGTTTTCAGAGTGATCGCTGGGTTTGAGTTTCTTTCTTGAGCTTTTAACTTCACCAGGCCGCTTTGGGTTTAGGCCCTGGTTAGTGTTGTTTTGTCTGGTGGGTTCTATCACTATGGCTGCCGTCTTGTTTGGTCTGGTGTGTGTAGGTGGTCAAAAAGCAGAGGAAGAGTGCAAGGTCATGATTTGATACTCAAAATCAGGGACTTCAAGGCGAGTCTCTCTAGAGGGTCACCCTTCCTTGTCAAAAGATAGTAACTTTGCCCTTCAGTACAAAGCCTTTCTAAAACTGCAGATAAGCTGTCTTTTTTAGGAAGGAAAAAGAATGAGAGAAATGGAAACTGGGAGGTTTTAGCAGCAGGTCTAATCTTATCTGCAGCGTTGCTGAGAGCAAGCAGATGGAGGCACCTCAGAGGAGCAAAGTCTGGGTAGGGTAAGGGCTATGTTTCTGTTTGGACAGTTTCCTGGTATCCCTGTTACTGTTCTTAAAATCATGCAGAAAAGCCATTTGCAAACCATTGTGTGGTGGTGTCTAGGAGATAAAACTGGGCACTGCCAAGGTTAGACAGAAGAATCTCAGATGCTTGAAGTTAAAAAACCCCAACATATCAGGGTTGTCGCAGGCACAGGTGTTGCCTGGATCAGATACATGGGTTACAACCAGTACCTTCCTCTGTTTGTCTTTATTTTAAACAACTGGAAATTTAGACTGGATGCAGTCTTGGTAGCTGTCTTATCCACAGGGCTTTTTGGGGGATAGGCTGCCATTCTAGTGTGGTTTCTACACAGGTAGAACATAACCCATCCTTTCCTTATTATCCGGAATCCATTATTTTTCAGTAGGTTCCATTTAGGCCCAAGGGACTGTTTTTTTCCAAAAGCCCTTGAAGCATCTTAAGCAATCAGTTTTCCAACAAACGTGCTATGCCCTGTGCTTACTCTCTGGTTGGCTCCCACAGAAATATCGGAGTGCTGGGAACGAAGGGTTGCACTAAAGTGCCTCTCAAAGTCCATTTTTCACCATAGCCTGCTACATCCCGTGTCTGAGCCGCACGCTGGGCACTGCTGCTCTCTGCTATCTTAAATGTTGGGTAGAGCCATGGTCGGGGTGGATGCTTCTTTGGCCCGTGAGGCTTTTACACATGGGACAGCTTTCTCCCTGGGGCTGAGACAAGAGGGTTGAAGTAGGGGGATTAACAGTTTGGGGGCAAAGAAAAGGTTTGTGTAAGGGGGCTGGCAAACAGCCAGCTCAGTCAGAGCCAGTTCACTCCTGAGCATCGCTATGGTGGGAGGGAGGGGAGCCAAAGGAGGCAGGGGGGCTTGTGTTCAAAGAGCAGGAGCCCGCCTTGTTTAGCTGTGGTCAAATATCAGGTCTCATCTACGTGGAAAAAAAGAGAGCAAAAAAGGCTGCTTTCAGTGAAATCAATTTTTGAAAATCTTCTTTTAAACCAGCTGAAATCCCTCGCCTGAGCTCACTTAAGCCAGACTCAATCCCTTTAAAAACTCTCTGAACCCAGGGATTTGTGGGGATGGTTGAAAACTTTCCAGTGAAACCTCCTTTCGAGTGTTTGGTGGAGAAACAGAATACTCCAAGCCAGGAGGAAAAGTCTGAGTGAGTCATTTAGATTTCAGGGGGTTGGGGTGGAGCCCCAGAGAAGCTGGTGCTTTCCTACCTCCCGAGCACCCCTTCTCTGCTGGCGGCTCAGGGAGATGACGTTTCCCAGCCCAGCCATGAGCGAGCTGCATGCGCCGCGCCAAGGACGACTCACTGGGGGTGCGTCCTTGAGTCACACGCGCGTAGTCAAGAAAGAAGTTTAGGAGTTTGGGCTGAAATGTTTCCGTTCCTGGCCAAAAGCTTTACTTAGAAACTACAACTTTTTGGGTGTTTTTTTCCTGTGTTTTGGTTAAAAGAATCAGTTTGGGGAGCAATTTACAGAGGTGAGCTAAATTCAGTTGCACAACAGAGTGTTGCAAGTGATGATTGTATTATTATTTAAAGTCGTGAAATTGATATTTTGATCTAATGATTAGTTATCCTAACTATTAAAAAGGCACAGAATTTGTTCCAGTTCCTTTGACTTCTGACACAATATTTTTCCATGGTTTAAGCATAGTACAAAAGCTTTATGTTTACAGCCTACTACCAGTGTTCAGCAGAAACCTTTTCCTTCCTTTCTGGGTTCCTGTGAAACTTAGGAACACCCTTAAAATGCCGTGCAATGAACATACTGCACCGTTTTTGTGGAAGAATGAACAATGTCTCCATTGAATTAATGCCCTGAACTTGCTTGCAGAAGAACAGAAAGTATGTGTTATTCACAGAACAATATTTTTCCATGGTTTAAGCATAGTACAAAAGCTTTATGTTTACAGCCTACTACCAGTGTTCAGCAGAAACCTTTTCCTTCCTTTCTGGGTTCCTGTGAAACTTAGGAACACCCTTAAAATGCCGTGCAATGAACATACTGCACCGTTTTTGTGGAAGAATGAACAATGTCTCCATTGAATTAATGCCCTGAACTTGCTTGCAGAAGAACAGAAAGTATGTGTTATTCACAGAATCATAGAATCATTTAGGTTGGAAAAGACCTTTAAGACCACCGAGTCCAACCT